GGGACGGATGCACGCTCGCAGGGCCGCCGGCCGCCGCCCCGCACGCCCCTCACCTGGGCCAGCCGGGCGGCCAGCTAGGGGTCCGCCGGGCTTCTGGACTTGGTGGGCGGGTCCAGGGACGCTCCGCCCCTGCACCCGTTCGCCCTCGAGGCCGCTCACTCGCACGTCCCCCTCTCGGATACAGGCCGCCGCGTCGCCCGAACCGGGCTGAGCATGGGGACAGGGAGGGGAGCGGAGTGGGAGAGGGTGGTCGGCGCCCGGCACCCCCGGCCTCAGAGCCCCGACTCGCCGCAGAGTCGCCCTCTCGTTCCGTGGGGAGGCCACGTCCCGCCCTCTGTCCTGGCGGGACAGAGAGAGGCCGCCCCGTGGCCGCGAGTCACCAGGCACCCGCTGCCGTAAAAGTAAGCCGAGCGGGGCTCGAAGAAGGGGTGACTGCAGCTGGGCCGTGGGGGCTGCCGCGTTCCGAGGGGGCACCCCAGGCCATGAGAAGGCAGCCGTAAAGCACGGGCCCCCGTGGAGACCCGGCCTGTCGGGCGTCGTGGAGAGGCGCGGCGTCCCGCACGCGGGCGAGGGGGTGGGCGTCGAGGGAGGAGGGGCCGCTCGCCCTCCGTCGTGCCCCCATCTGCTCCCGTGCTCCCTGAGCCTCCCCAGTGTCCTTCACTTGGCCTGAATCCGTCGTCCTGATCGCGGGCCCGTGTGTGCCCTGAGAGGAGAGCTTCAGACCCCAGCGCGCGAGGTGTGCCCCGGGGCCAACTTCCGCAGTGTGGCTCGGCGCCCGTCGTTGCCAGTCGTTCTCCATAGTTATCGTGGGTTTAGGGTAAGAATTCGAGGCTCTGTTCCCAAGGTGTGTTTCCGCCAAAAAGTCGTTCACCGCGACAGCGTGGCCGAGGTGGCGGGAGGGAAGCGTGGGGCCTGGTGTGCCGCGCTCGGGCCGTGGCCTCGGCCGGGTGGTCTGTGGAGCCCCGGAAATGCCGCTGGGCGGTGGGAGGCGACGCCAGTCGGCAGACTTAGCACAAAGCACGGAACAGGAGCTATCTCATTAAAAAACAGAC